ATTACGTATGTTAATTATCAAATTTTTTATATTAGCATGTATGAACAAGTAACTAATACAACTTTGTTAATTTCCTAAATAGAGCTAATGTTATGATCGTACTAGAAAAATGTTTAGAAAAGCATATTATTTTATAAGCCGAAAGAAGAGCTGAATGTCTTTATATAAATTAATTAAAAATAATGACGTAAATAATTTATTTAAAAATAAAATAAAAATGTCATTATAAGTTATGAATGTTATGATCCGCAAACAAGTTTTTATTCTCATTACAAAGCTTATTACAATTATGTGTCGCAATATAAAATAATTATCTTGAATATCTCCAGAGTGTTCTAAAATTATTTATCTTATTACATAAATGTGCAATAAAAATACAAATCATGTATTGTTTGCTCTAGTCTTAAAATTGAAAATTTTCAAGTCTAACATATTATATAATATGACATATATTCATATAACATATTATAATATGTCTAAGACGGGTGCGACATATGTCAAAGATTATATATTTAACAGCCGATAGCGACAGCAGATACATCGCGTTTCGGATTTTGGCTAAAATTATCTCATTTATTAATTTAGGACTTAGCGATCCTGAAAATCTATGAATGATTTGTAAAACGCAGTTATAGGTGGTATTGCGTATATGCGCATTATTTTCTTGGAAAATTGATTGATTTAAAATTTAAAGAACCAGGTTTTGAAGATTACACAATTTTATTTGTAATTATAATGCGTTTTCCACGTGTTGTCTATAAATATGGTTAAAGAAGAATGCTTACTGTAGAGACCGAAAAAAAGATCCTGCGTAATGTGACGGGGCACTTCGAATCGGGGAAACTCACAGCAATAATCGGTCCTTCTGGCGCGGGAAAGACCACCCTGCTGAAAGTCGTGTCGGGCGAACGATTGACCGACCTTAAGGGCATTGTCACCATAAACGGCGTTGAACGGGACAGGGGAATGTTCCGCAAACAGGTGCGCTACGTGCCGCAACAATTCGATCTGTTGCCGTTTCTCACGACAAGAGAGACTCAATCACCTATGCAGTACTTTGATGGAAAATTTATTTTGCAAGAAAGTAACGTGTTAATACTTATCTTGAACAAGAAAGTATCTCTCTCTAAGTATGTCTCAAACAAAAGATTAATGATTTAGCAGATATTAAAACTTATTCAGCAATCTGTTTTTAAAACTTATAGAGACTCGGCATCCCTACGCTACTGAACTTACATCCGCTTCATGTTCTCATGATTATTTCAAAAATTCCAAGCAGTTTATTTTTAGGTAGATTTCTGACACGTGAAATTCACCATATATGAAAGTGCTCGACAGTTACAACATTGTGAGAACTTGGGCGTTATAAAACAGGTTTGCAGCAAATTCACTCATTCATTTCGCCTTGTGAAAGTGACCGGCTCGCGGCTGTCGTTCTGCTAGACTCAACAAACTACAGTGCTACAAGATCAGTCAACGTTCATAATCGTCGTAGCACGACGCTATGCCGACCGTGTACGATTGATAAAGAATTCGATGATCATCGCGTATCACGCATCTCGTATGCCCAGTACGCAAACGCCGGTTCTTCAATTAATCAGTTGACGGCGAACGGCTGCTAATTTTACTAAGTGTTCGGCAAGATGCTGGAAGCGAGCGGCGCAGCGAAAATGCTGGACGACGACTCCTGTAAGATCAATTTGCAGGAGTCGGAAAAATTGCTAGGACCCGGAAAATCGTGGAACTCGCAGATGTGCATCGAATTCAGCGATCTCTGTTATTCAATTCGTCGCAACCGCAAAGGCAAGAACATTTCATCATCGTCCCACATATTTCTGAAAGTTGCGATTTTGCGTTCTCGATATCCTAACACAATTTACTCGTACGCTTCGTAATATCTTTAGACAGCTTTAGATAGCTGTATAAAAAAGAACTCATCGAATCATTTGATTGATATAGCAACGTAAGCGCACGTCATTACATTACAATTGTAGTACCTGTCACACAAATATAATACGTATGTTGTCTCGATTTGAGCGCTAAACACCAATCCGTCTGATGATTTCGTGTATTTACGTATTGATATGTTTATTAAATTCGTCCAATCGTAAATTCGCGCGTAAATCATCATTTTTAACGTTTGTGAGTTTTCAGCGCACAAATATCATCTATATGTCGCAACATTTTAACTGAAATTTAACCATAAGATAAATACAGCTTAATATTTTAAAATGTGATGTACGTACACCATTATGTATTTATGTTTAAGCTAAGTGCGAAAATATTAGCAAAGTGAGAAGATATTGAAACTTATTCAGCAATCTGTTTTTAAAACTTATAGAGATTCGGCATCCCTACACCACTGAACTTACATCCGGTTCTAGTCGTTTATCTCCAGTTATATTATGAGTCAGATTAAAAAAGAAACTGACACAATTAATTTAAAGCTTAAACCAAGATTTAGATTCTAATTTCGCAATAGAATAAATAATAAAGCTATAGATTATACATTGACGTATGTACGTGTCCGCGTTTGTAGTTATTTTGATCGAGATAACGAAATTTTACGTAGATTACAAAAGATTACGTATGTTAATTATCAAATTTTTTATATTAGCATGTATGAACAAGTAACTAATACAACTTTGTTAATTTCCTAAATAGAGCTAATGTTATGATCGTACTAGAAAAATGTTTAGAAAAGCATATTATTTTATAAGCCGAAAGAAGAGCTGAATGTCTTTATATAAATTAATTAAAAATAATGACGTAAATAATTTATTTAAAAATAAAATAAAAATGTCATTATAAGTTATGAATGTTATGATCCGCAAACAAGTTTTTATTCTCATTACAAAGCTTATTACAATTATGTGTCGCAATATAAAATAATTATCTT